TATGAAAGATCCGTGCCCCAACGGCTACGAAAGCAAAGTTTCGGCGCACCCCTCACGCATTTCCTGCGCACTCAAGGCCTGTGAGACTCATTAAACAAAAGGAACTCGCCGAACAATCCTCCTAGGAGTCTCACTTTGGCACACCCCTCGCGCACTTCGTGCATCGTGGGGCCCGGCTGGCCCCGAAGACTCCTCCATAGAGCCTCAAGTTGGCACACCAGGGACCTTCAGGGGCGATCCTCTGGCGCTCAGGACGGCTAAACTGAACCTCGATTCGGCACACTCCTCACGCACCTCGTGCCTCCTGGACTCCCAGGAGGCCTCAGCTGACCCCTCAGACGGTTCAGGGGAGCTTCGATTCGGCACACCCCTCAGCCACTTCGAGGTTCATGGCTCTCCCAAGGCCCTCTGTTGGCTCCGAAGACCGCCTGCTCCCGCAAGTGACGCCAAGATGCGAGACCTATGTTGCTTCACGTCACCAATTTGGCCCCTGCTGACTTTTTTCAAAATAAAGTATATTGGAATGAAACGCTGCCGCTGGATATATCGAGCACAGTTGATCACAACACAAACGCTCCTGCGAGCCCCCGCCAAAATGGCAAGAAATGGTAAGCTCAGATCCGCATGGCTACATTGCAACCGAACCGCTTGACCACCATCTCGACCGAACTGGCGGAATTCGACCACGCGTCCGACAAAATGCGTTCGACGAGGGATGCGCTGCACAATGCCCCGGCCACGGGCAGCGCTACGAGGGAAAGCGGGCCCTTCGATGTGTCACTTTCAGCGCCCGTGAAAGTGACACCTCCCAGGGCCCACTTAAAGAGCACCAGAAAGGCTCCAAGAAGGCCCCGAGAAGGCCCCAGGGCGGCACCAAGAGGGCTCCCAGAGGGACCCAAGAGAGGCCCCAAGAAGGGCCCAAGAGGGCCCTCCGCGGTGTCACTTTCAACGCCCGTGAAAATGACACCTCCCAGGGCCCACTTAGGGCCTCAGAAAAGCTCTAAGAAGGCCCCGAAAGGGCCACAGAGAGCCGCCCTGGGTTCAACTCCGCGTGGCGGAGTTGGAAGCGATAACTTCAATACCCTACTGGAGGCCTCTTAGGGGCCCTAAGACGGCACTGAAGAACCCCATCGGGGCTTTTTCAAAGGCAGAGGAGGGCGCAAAAAGGGGCCTCAGTGAGCCCCTGGTCTAACTCCACCTGGCGGAATTGGAAGCGATATCGCCCGGCGCCTTCATGGAGCCGCTCGGAGCTTCCAAGACGGCTCCAGAAGGCCCCAGGAGGGCCCCAAGAGGATCGAACGACGATTCCTGGAAGTGCACCAGTGAGACCCTTGTTGACCTCCGCCTGGCGGAGTTGGAAGCGACAATTTCCAGTGCCCTCTTGGGGCCTCTGGGGGGCCCCTCAGAAAGCTTTGGGGAGCACAGTGAAGGCCTTCGCAGGGCCGCGTGAGAGCCGTACCAGGGCCGCATGTGTGCGCGGATGGGGGCGACGAGTGCTGACGCTGACGAATATGAGAATGATGAGGGCGATCAAGGCTGGCCCGAAACAAATCCTGGCGCCATTGCAGGCCGCCGATTATCGGCCACGCCGCCAGGACGACGCCAAGCAACAAAACGACACCAACCAACAAACCGACACCAACCAACAAACCAACAAATCGACACCGACCAACAAAAGGACACCAAGCAACAAAACGACACCAAGCAACAAAACGACACCAACCAACGAAACGACACCAACCAACAAAACGACACGAATCAACAAAACGGCACTGACCAACCAAACGACAAATCACTTCACGACACCAATGAACAACGCGAAATCCACCGACCGCCAACCAAGCATAAAATCAACCGACACAACGAAACCAACCCATAGAGCCAGACCAACCACTGGATTCGTGAGTCGGGGTAGTCATGGAAGTGAGCCGCTGCAGCCCGCGGAAGCCATTAACAGTGACCAGAGCACCGCAATGCAGCAGCGTCCCCAGGCGGCGGCGGGAGTCTCGGATCTCCCGCGGGACTGGAGCGTAGCGAGTTCGTCCTGGGTCCGGTTTAGTGAAGTGAAGAATTTCGGGGTGCTTGGCATGGCAAAAACCTTCACTTCACTAATCTGGGGCCCCTGGAGCCCCAGGGCGTTTCAGGTCCCCTCGCTGTCTGGGTAGTCCAGGGGGCGCAGTGGCGGCTTACCAGAGGCCCTGTTCCCTAGCCTCACTTGCTTTCACCCGCGGTGCTCGACGGCCGTCTCGGAACTGTCTTGTGGCGGTCTGGGGCAATCCCGAAGCCTCTTGGAGCCATCCCAAGGCCCCAAGGCGCCACCAATGGGGGCCCCAAGAGAGCTCCCAGAGGGCCCCGAAAAGGCCTACAACAGATTGCACGTTCGCGCGAATTCTTTGTACCACTTTGGGGGGTCCCTCTTGGGGCCCTCGGGGAACGTTTTTGGGGCCCTCCGAGGGCCCACTGGGGCCCCGGGAAGGCCCCAAGAACGCTCCCAGAGGGCCCCAAGAATGCTCCAAGAGGGCCCCAAGAGGACCCCCACAAGTGACAAGACTATTTGCATGAAGGTGCAACTTACTCGGCACCTCTTGGGGCGCTCTTGGAGCCGTGCCGGGCGCCACTCGTGGACGACATGGGCTGGGCGACGGCATGTGGACCCTGTCGCTTGGGCCATCGGGGGTGCTCCCCAATGGGGCCACGAAGCGTGTGAGCGTATGACGGAATGGGCTGGGCGGCGGCCTGTGGGCCCTGCCTGTGGGGCCGTCGGTGTAGCTCCCCGTGGGACCACGAAGCGTGTGAAACGTATGCCGAAATATGCTGGGCGGCGGCCTGGGAAACCTGCCGCTGGGATTTTTTTTTGGTGGATCTGCCTATGGGGGCACGAAATGTTTGAGGGTCTCATCAATGTGGCCTGGGCGACGGCATGTGGACCTTGCCGCCGGGACCTCCGATGAGCTCCTCATGGGGACACGAAGCGTCTGAGGGGCGTGCCAACATGGGCTGGGCGGCGCACTAAAGACCCTGCCGATGGGGCCTTCTGTGAAGCACCTCACAAGGCCACGAGATTTGCGGGGGATGTGGCGAAGCAGAAACGCGGGGGAACAAGGGGGGTGTTTTGATGATGTTGATGAGGATGGTGGTGGTATTGATGATGGAGACGACGAGAATGCTGATGATGTTGATGATGATGGTGATGGCGACGATGACGATGGACGATGACGACGGGGACACGCGGAGAGCAGGGGCAGATACGCGAAGAGGGAGGACGAGGGAGGGGGCCGCAAGGAATGACGCGGGGCGGTGTTTCTTCAAAACGAAGAACCAACACTGCAATATGGTGAGACATTTCTGGGCGACCCCCCCCCGTGGCGCGGTCAATGTCCGCGACAGCACCGCTGGCACTACGAACGAAATGGTCGAACTCTTCCTGCGACGTTACCCGCGGGGTGGATCAGCCAGGGATGCGGGTCGAAACCGCCTCAGCGCAAAGCAAATGTACAATCCTGGGAAACCCCAGCCCACATCAACCGATCCGCAACAAGCACGCAAGCCTTCGACGACCCCAACGCACGTGACATCGCATAACGCGACGCGCCATCGAAAACGTTCGACGCGCGGCCTCGGAATGACATCGGGCTTCATGGAACGCCGAATGGAAAACATGAAAAACCGCCCTGTGGGCTCCGAGACCCAACATTACTGATGTGAAGGATTTCGGCTCGTCGACAAGATGGCCCTGAGAAAAATTGCAACGAGTGGTACCGACCCTTGTCGAAGCCGTACCCCGAACACCCACTGATTGCAACATCTGCGTGCGTGTTTTCCTCTGGGGGCCCGCTGTGACTCCCGCTCTGCGGGCTCAATTGGTTGACTGTCCCAGCGCCTGGGGAAGCCCTGGTAGCCAGAAAACGGCGAAAAACTTCCTGGACCTATATCTTTCAGACCCTGTTCGCTCCATGAGCCCTCGCAATGCACCCAAACCCGAAAGATCCGCGCGGGATGTGCAACTGGAAGGGAAAACGAAAAACACCCCGAATGCAGCAGGTTCGACACGCCCGCAGGAAGCCAACGCGCAACACGCGAGGAAGAGAAACCCGAGGCGCGGTGACGAGAAGCAGCCGGTTTTCGGATGCGCGTCGCAACTGTATGCGCCCCTGTCGCCGCCTCCGATCGCGCTACGTTTTGACTTTAGGTGAAGGGGAACTGGGACACACCAATAAGTACACACAAATAAACATATTCCCCGTATTTTCCTATATTTTCTGGGATTTAGTCTTCCCCCCCACTTCCCATATTTTCCCATATTTTCTGGGGAGTCGCCGATTAATTGTGTCTGTGTGTTCTTTCTCCTCCTGACTAAGGTGGGGGTGGTGGTGGCCTGGGCCACCTGCAGCGGTGGCGCGGGGCCTTCCTGGCACCCGCTGCCCTGCATACGCACATGTACCACATCTGATATCCACGCAGATTGTTCCACATACAGTCGGGGCGTTGACCCAAGGAACCCTAAATAAGGAACGAGGCCCCTCTTTTCCATAACTTGAACTTCGACTTCCCATACAAAAGCCTAACGGAAACCCGAGGCAAACTGTAAAACAATCAAGGAACACCGAGCCCCTCCCCAACGAAAAGCGTTCCTTCTTCAAGGCCCCGACTGTGCTGCATGGAGGTTTGGTGCGTCCGCCCTGTATCCCACTTCGTTCCAAAGCCCGATCCTCCCTCTTTGGGCTCGAACCTCCACGCCCTCAAGCACGAGCGGATAATTCATGAGGAGGAGAACGATGAGAGGAAGATGTTCAAGAAAACGAAGGCGCGGACTGGCCAGAAAGGAGGAGGAGCCGGGGACAACAGCAGCGGCACGAGCAGGAGGAAGAACGAGGGTGCGCCGGGGAACAAAATTCAGGAGGATACCTTTCTGTTGGGGAGGCCGCAGCCACGCACGGATCCCCCAGCAAGGAAAGATAACCAGCTGCTCTCGCGGCAGGGGGCCAGCTGGCGCGCGCGGCCTCAGCGGAGGGCAAGCCGCTCTTCTCCGGCGAGTCCTGGCGCGTCTCTTCCCCTATTTCGTCAACCTTTTCCTCCCCCTCCTCCTCCTCCTCCTCCTCCTCCTCTCCTCCTCCTCCTCCTCCTCCTCTTTATTTGCCTCGTCCTCCTCCTTGCGCCCTCGTCTTCTTCCTCCTTGCCTCGTCCTCCTCCTCCTCTTGGCTCCGCCACCTCGTCTTCCTCCTCGTCCTTGTCTTCCTCCTCGTCCACGTCCTCGGTCTCGTCCTCGTTGTCCTCGTCGTCCTCGTCGTCGTCGTCGTCCTCCTCCTCCTCCTCCTCCTCCTCCTCCTCCTCCTCCCCCTCCCCCTCCCCCTCTTCCTTTCCGTCCTCCTCGTTGTCTCAGCATGTCTCCTTGTCTCCTCGTCTCCTCCTCCTCCCATCTCCTCCTCCGCGATCCTCCTCCTCCTCCTCCTCATCATCCTCCTCTTCCTTCTCGTCTCCTCCTCACCATCCTTTTCCTCTTCGGCGGCGTCCTCGACATCCGCCTCCTCCTCCTCCTCCTCCTTATTCTTCGGTCTTCCTCCTGCTCCGCCTCGCTCCCGGCACGGGGGCACCCGAGTGGGACCCCATATCCGCCACACAGGGGGCGCTCTTGGGCATTAGGATGAATGTGAAGGGGCCCCAGGACACACAAATAAATACACACAAATAAAGATATTCCCCATATTTTCCCATATTTTCTGGGTTTCTGTCTTCCCTCCCATTTCCCATATTTTCCCATATTTTCTGGGGAATCGACGATTCATTGTGTCTGTGTGTTTCTTTTCCTCCTGAGAATGTCCTGGGTGCACGCGAACAAACGGCCAGGGCCCAGTTCCTTTATTTCACGGCCTGGCCCAGTGGCAATCCTGGCTTCTCTGGAATTGCAAACGCAATGTTTCAACGAATGAGCGAATGCCCGACGCAAAAGATGCAAGGATGAGGAGGGGCGCAGGGGGGCAAGCGAAGGGGCAGGGAAAAGCCTTTCCCGATAGCGAAACAATTCATGTACCACGGATTCGTGTCGTGTCGACCGCGGCGATGATTCATAACACAGCGGGTATCGTGCAAATTGAAGAATCGGCCGCTTCCGAAAAGCCAGATCGTGCAACATGGGAACCACTCTGTGCAGCCAACGGCGTTCAAACTTGAACGCAGGCGGAGAGGTCGCCGCCGATCGACAAGACTCGAACCTGCCGTGCCGCTCCCGTCCGCTCAAGCAGAAGCTGCGGATCCGCATACCTGGCGCGTGGATCTGGCGCGTGGGCGCAAAGAGCCACGGATCGAGCAAACGATGCCACAGAAACGATGCCGGCAGAATCTGTGCATCGCGCTCTTTCTCGGGATGTTGGGGCGCATCGCTCCTGCGACAGTAGCCGTGCAAAGATCCGCTCGCCCGGACGCTCGCTCGCCAGGGGAAACCCGCTCGTGCAGACGCCCGCTCGCCCGAAGCGGCTCCGGTGGACTGGGCGTCTGCCCGCCGAGCGGCCCCCGTTCCTTCCGACTGCTCGACCCGCGATCCTCCTTCTCCTCGTCTTCCTCGAACCTCGATCCTCCTCCTCCCCCTCGACCCTCGATGTTCCTCCTCTTCCGCCTCCCGTTCCTCTTCGTCCTCCTGCTCCTTTCCTCCCGCCTTCTCTTCTCGCAGCTCCTTCCAGACAGCCGCCGACATGATGCTTGCAACCCGCGGCCCCGAGAAAGCCCCGCCCGCTCCCCCGGAGGGTACTTCCTCGCCCTGGATCAAATTTTGGAGGCCCCGGGGTCCGAAAACGGCTCCCGAGGGGTCGAAGACAAACCGACGGGTTTGAACAAAAAACCACCCTCGACGATGTGGCCCCCCTGGGGTCCGACGCCGCGAAAGAATTGAAACGCCGCCGAAAATCACAAACGGAGCCCCAGACCGCACCTTTCTGCTGCGCTGTTCGAACGTTGATCGAGGTGTGATCCCCCCGGGGGCCCGAAACTAGGCGAGAAACCGCCCGTTGTGGGGAATTGTAGCGCCCGGATGCCCTCGCCGCTCCGCCGGAGCGGGCCCCCGCCGCCAGGAGCCTGTTTTTTTAAGACTCTGGCAAGTTTACTTGCATGGACGGGGAGGGGGGGCTGAGCCTGAAGCAAGCCCGGGGGGGGGGGGCGCGGAAATCACGCAAGTCGAAAGGCACTTGCACGCTAGTATTCGCTTGAAGAGGGGCGGGGGGGGGGGGGGGGAGGGCGAACGCCATGCAAAGAAACTTGCCTGAATCCAAAAAAAAGAGGCTCCAGCCGCCCCCACCCCCCAGCCCGCCGCGCGCGCCGGGAGGGCGCGCGCGCGCGGGCTGGCGGGCCCTCCCCGAGGGCCGACATCGAGGGACGCTTGAGGGGCCCTCGGAGATCTGGGCGCCCTCCCCCTCGTCCGCCTGATTTCCCTCCTCCCGCTTCCCGCGACTCCTCCCTCCGCTCCTCCGCTCCACTCTTCTCACCTCTCCTCTCCTCTCCTCTCCTTTTCCTCGTCCTCTCCATTTCCTCCTTTGCCTTCCTCCTCCTCCTCCTCCTCCTCCTCCTCCTCCAGATCCTCCTCCTCTTCGCCCCTGCCACCTGCACCCCCTCCTCGGCTCCCTCGCTCCTCCCACATCCGCCTCCTCCGCGCTCCTCGTTCTCCCGCCCCCTCCTCCTCCTCGTGCTTCTCCCGCGTCGTTTTCAAAACGTTGCGAGAGTTTCACGGGTTGAGGGCGTGTCGTGTCCAAAATGCACGGTCGTTTCAACCATTTGCAAGAGCTTCACGGATTGAGGGCGGGTGGATTTCAAACGTTTGCGGTAATGTCACGGATAGAGGGCGGTTCCTCTGTCAAACCGTGGTTCTTGCCTTAGCGCCGCGCGCGTTCGTTCCCAACATTTGCGACAGTTTCGCTGCTTGGAACGATTCAGGACTGTCGGGGCGCAGCAGTTCCGTTGATTCTCGGTGTTGAAGCCCCTGGAGTGGTGTCCTGGCACGATCCAGGATCGTCAAAACGCAGCAGTTCAACTGACTCGTGGCGTTAAGGTCCTGAGAATAATGTTTCGACGTGATTCAAGATTGTCACACGCTTGCCCTCCTGCGGGGCACTTCCCTTGGTGGACATGAACCCTTGTTGGGCCTATGAAGAGGGAGCTCTGAGGGAGGGTGTATTCAAAAATCGTTAATGAATCTTGGATGTTATACTAGTCCTACTCCTTGATTCCTGGTGTTGAAGCCCCTGGAGTGGTGTCCTGGCACGATCCAGGATCGTCAAAACGCAGCAGTTCAACTGACTCGTGGCGTTAAGGTCCTGAGAATAATGTTTCGACGTGATTCAAGATTGTCACACGCTTGCCCTCCTGCGGGGCACTTCCCTTGGTGGACATGAACCCTTGTTGGGCCTATGAAGAGGGAGCTCTGAGGGAGGGTGTATTCAAAAATCGCTAATGAATCTTGGATGTTATACTAGTCCTACTCCTGCTCCGCGATCCTCCTCCCCTTCCACCTCTTCCTCCTCCCCTCCCCCTCCTCCTCCTCCTCCTCCTCCTCCTCCCTCCTCCTCCTCCTCCGCCCTTCCTAGGCAGCGGAGCACCGCGCGCTGCCGCTGCAGCGCCTGCCACCGCCGTGCACGGTAGTGGCCACGTCGTCGCAGAATCCCCACCGGCGGGAGGCGGGGCCCTCCCTTGAGGAAGCAGGGGCCCCAGACGTGCTCGCGTCGCGGCAGGAGTCGAGGTCACGGCCGAGGTCGTGGTCGAAGTTCTCGGCGGTCTTGGCTGGTCGCTGGAGGTCTCCTCGCCTCGTGATGCCCTCCAGCAGTTACGCCTCGCCGAGAGCGTTCCAGGCACGCCCGCATTCGTCCCAACGGGCCGGCCCGAGACCCGAGCCATCGCCCTAAAACGACACACCCTCGCTCGCGCCGTGAGACAACACGACGGGAGGTCTTTGGACCGGTCCCCGGGGGCCCTCGCCTGGCCCCGCGCTCCAACAACGGCTCGCGATGAACACCAGCCCTGGGGGAAGGGCCGGGACTTCAGGGAACCCCATAACGACCCGCCGAAACATGGCACGTCCGAGTAGAAACTGCATGGCCATGAGCTGTCGAAGGTGCCGCGCGGATTTCTTGGATCGGCGCTGGGCCCGCCTTCCTGGCGCGTGGGCGTGCCAAGGGCGGCGCCCGCGGCGATCCGAAAAATCCGCGCGGAGCTTCGACAGTTGATGTTTAGGTGCAGGACCACTGGGTGTGGCAACAAGGGTGGGTGGGTGGCGTTTTTAGGTTTGAGCGGTCTGCACTCGCAACACAGCGGACAACGGCGGGACAACCATCGGGCCAACCATCGGAGCAACCATGGCACAACCCCCAGGGGCAACTCGGGGACAACCACCGGGACTACCCTCGGGACAACCGCAGGACAACCACGGGACAACCACAGAACCATCGGAACAACCACAGGACAACCACGAGGCAGCAATCTGGGCAACCACCAGGACAACCATCGGATCAAACTCGCGCTGCCTGCCGTCGCCTGCGCGCGCGACTCGAAACGAACACGATGCTCCCTGTGTTGGCGACCCCGCTTCCCTTCGGTCTCACCCACCCGTCCTCCTCCTCGTCGCTTGAGCGACAGGTTCCAAAGTGGGCATGGATTGGAAACCGAGAAGCTGACCACCGTGCTGACCTTGCAGCGGAGGAACGTGCTACCCCAGCAGCACAGCTCAGCTGTTACGAATGGGTTAGAGCAGTTGGCCAGCTGGTACGACAGCGGATCACCCAAGCTACTATGGACGCTATGGAACGAAAGCCGCCAATGTCTTGGGAGGATCGTCACCAGCTACGGAAGGAAGCCAAGCTGAACAAGCCCCCAGAACCCACTTTAGACCAGCTCGCAAGCATCAGCAGACACAGATTGGAAAAGACCACAACTGGCTGGGAATGCTTATCCTGCGCACAATCCACGGTTACACGAAGGAAGCGGATGGCAAACTGGTGGCTGCAGTCTGTCTGCTCGGCTACTCAGACTTGCCCTAGTGTGTCAGGTGTATGTTCACTCAAAGGCAGATGTGCGCACATGTCCCACCATATCGAATGGAGCAGAAAAGAGCAGGGCCATTTCTGTTGGAATTGCGGGGCATTGGCCAAGCACTATGTACGTCAGCGAGAAATTTGCAGGCGAGTGCAATCCACCAGCGGAGAAGACCAAGGGCCACTACGTGGTGAGGGCCCTGCGGAAGCATGCATGATGGGATTATTCGAGGATATTCTTGTTGGACTGGTGGGGACATCAATGTCATGCCATTCCCGAGGGGGTTGACCCGTAGAGCCCATACGGGTGCCCACGATGGCTTAAATGCGACGGAGCGTGTATCCCCTCGGGTCTCTTGCATTTGTGTTACTTGTGTTGTTTATGGATCGTGGATGGTGTTTCTTGGCTGCAAATACGCATCGTTCTTGTATGATCGTTGATTGAGTTTGCATATCACCGTGAGTGGCTTGAGGTTGTTGAGTACGTGCCACGCTTCGACACGATCGACGCAGCACCCACGCAGCACTTACGCAGCACTTACGCAGCATCTACGCAGCACTACGCCAGCACTTGCATACTTCATGCGTTAAGTCCGTGCTGCCATATAAAGTGATTGCCTGTATTAAATTCAGTGCGCTGCGCGTGGCCAGTCGGGATCACCATTCTGCAGTTGAGTGTGATCCTCTGTCCTGGTCGAATGCGTCACACGCCGTGCCCATTTGCACTAATATTCCCACGCTACGCGTGACCAGACATTCGCTTCCAGATTAATTTGGGTTGTCACCTCTTGCTTTCACTGTGTAAGGTTCTGCGGTTGTTGAGTTCGTGCTCCGCCCCGACACGATCGACGCAGCACCTACGCAGCACCTACGCAGCACTTACGCCAGCACCTACGCTGCACTACGCCAGCACGTGTCATCTCTTGTGTGTTGAGTCAGTGCCGCCCACTCTTCACTTTGTATTCCACACGCTGCGCGTGACAAGGCTATCGCTTGCAGGCAATATTTGTGTTGTCACCTTTCGCTCATTGTTGGTGTTTCTGAGGTTGTTGAGTTCGTGCTCCGCTTCGACGAGGCCGACGCAGCACCTACGCAGCACCTACGCCTGCACCTACGCTGCACCACGCCAGCACTTGATACTGTCATTTGTTGTGCCCGTGCCGCGCCACTATGCGATCGACAGTGATATATTCAGTGCGCTACGCGCGCCCTGAAGTCGCCATTATTTCGCTGTGTGACCTCTGATTTGTTGTGCGCTCATATATTCAACACGCTGCGAGTGACCTGACAATGGGCACCCATTGGCTAGCTGTGGCAATCTGTTATTGTTCGCATTCAATACGCTGCACGGCCCATGCCGCCGTTCGCTCGCTGGTGATTTCGATGGTGCCTCATTCTTTCATTGTATGTGATTCAGGTGTTGTTGAGTACGTGCTCCGCTTCGACATGGTCAACGTAGCACCTACGCAGAACCTACGCAGCACCTACGCTGCACCTACGCCAGCACATACGCAGCACTACGCCAGCACTTGCCATATACTGTTGAGTTCGTGCCGACCAACGTCATGCTCGACAGTAATATATTCTTCACGCTACGCGTGCCCTGTCGAACGAGGGTACGGCTTTGATGCCGTGTGAGTTCGGTCAGGCCAGTCTGTGTGAATTTGTGCTTGTTGTGTGCGAGCCGACTCGGACACCAAGGTCTGAGTCTGCGGTCCGCGGGTCGCCTATTGCAGGTTGCACGCACCCGCCGTCGCCGCCCCTGCTTTCCCCCCCGCCCCTGCCCCTCCCCTCCCTAGGTCGCTGACCTGTAGGAAACCCTGGGAAAAAATCCTCGTCCTCCTCCTCGTCCTCCTCCTCGTCCTCCTCCTCGTCCTCGTCGTCCTCCTCCTCGTCCTCCTCCTCGTCCTCCTCCACCTCCGATGTCGTTTGCTTCGACTTCATCGGGGCAGACGCACCCAAAATCGAATCGGAAACTCACATCGGGTGGGACTGCGCGCCGGGTCGAGCAGCACAACGCAGCCAGAATCGAACGTCCCTCCTACTGCCCCACTCATCCTTACCATTGTCCTGCCTTCCTCCCCCCCCCCCCCTCCCCCTGCCTCCCCCTCATTCACAGGTTCTCCCTCCTCATACTCCTCCTGCCTCCCTCCTCCTCATCCGCTGGCATCCCTCCTTCTGCTTCTCACGCCGCCTGCCTCCTCCTCCTCCTCCTGCTCCAGCCTCCTCTCCTCCTCCTGCCTCCTCCTTCGCTCCTACCTCCTGCCTCCTCCCTCATCCTCCCTCCCTCGAAACGACGAGGGCGCGGACGCGGACGCGGACGCGGACGTGGCCAACGACGACGACGACGACGACGACGATGACGGCGACGACGACGACGGCGACGACGGCGGCGGCGGCGGCCCTGGGTCCGACATGGTCAGCCAGCAATATGCGCCTCGCGGGGGAGGTGGCGGGTGGCTCGTTTCGGCTGAGCGCTCATGGATGCCCTCCGCACCCTCCTATCGGGTGTTGCTAGAAGTACCCCTGGCCCAAGGTACCCCTAGGATTCTCGGGGTGGCCCAAACGGCCTCCAGGGCACCCCTCACGAGGCCCAGAGGGCCCCAGGGGCTCCAGCATGGAGCGGAAAGCTGGGGGTACCTTGGGCCAGGGGCACTTCTAGCAACACCCGATCCTAGGGCCACCCTTGCATGTAGACGATCAGAAGGCTCGGAAGAGCCCTGGCCTTCTAAGTCATTGTCTAACCTTCCCCGAAGACACAGAAGGCCTACCGGAAGGCCAGAGGCCTCTCAGACGCCCCGCCGACTTCTGAGGCCTTCTCTCCTGCTCGACGCTAAATCGACGCTAATCGGCGCTAAATCGACGCTAATCGGCGCTGGGAAACGCTAAATCGTCACATCTCGTCGACTCCCAGATGCCAGTCGACGCTTATCGGCGCTACAAGCACAATTACGAGGGTACACAAGCCTCCCATGATTTGCTCCCGACGGACACCCCTCGAAGACCCATCCGCCGAACCGACCCATCCATGACGAGCCCCTTCCGTGACGACCCCCGCACCCGAGGCCCCTTCGGCGGCAAATTATGGGAGCCTCCCATACCATCTTGTCGGCTCTCTCGAATCGACGCTCATCGATGCGAGAACACCTGCCGCAAGGGAGGGCGAGGGCAAGTCCGCTCAAGTCGATTCCCTGACCCTTCCGGGGGTCCAGGCCTTTGTGGGCCCCGGTAACGGCAAGGCCGTTTTTTTTACCGTTTCCAAAAAAATGTCCCTTGAAAATGGAAACGGCAAAAAAACGGCGACCCGAAACGGCAAAAAAGCGGCTCCAGGATAGGAACCAAAACCAGAACCGGTCAAAAAACGGCGACGGAACCGGTAAAAAAACGGCGTCGGAACCGGCAACAAAAACGGCAAAACGGAATCGGTACAAAAACGACCCTGTCGTTTCCAGGGCCCACTAAGGTCCAGGCGCACAAGTTCTCCGGGCCCATCGGCATGTCTCTCTCGCTCTGCTGGCGCGAGCCTGCGCCGCCGCAGCCCCCCTGGCCGGACCCAGCCCTCCTCCTCGACCTCCGCACGGCTGGGGAGGAGGAGGAGGAGGAGGAGGAGGAGGAGGAGGAGGAGGAGGAGGAGGGGGAGGAGGAGGAGGAGGAGGAGGAGGAGAAGGAGGAGGAAGAGGAGGAGGCGGATGCAGAGGGGGAGGGGAGAGACGACGAGGGACAGGGGGAGGAGCGGCAGGAGGACGACTGCGGGAACGAGGGAGAAGGAGTCGTGCTGCTCAAACCTGAAGGCTGCACCAACCGCAGGAGGCTCCCAGAGGTTTCTGGGGGCAGACAGAACGGGAGCGCCCGAAAACCTGGATCCATGAATCTCGAGCCTCGATCCTGGACGACGAAGACGACAATGTCGACCACGAGGGCGACAGCGGTGACGACGACTACTACAACGGCGGCAGCAGCGACCTTCGCCACTACCACAACGACGGCGACGACTGCGACGCCGATACCGACGACGACGACCACCACCATGACCACCATCGCAGCGACGCCGACGACGACTGGGACGACGATGCTGACGCCGCCGCCCAGCGCCGACGACGACGGCGGCGATCGAGTCGTGCCTTGGCGGCCACGACTGGCCAGCGGAGGGATCCCTGGGAGCCTGAACTGCGGGAATCACCTCCAGGACCCGTTCTCCTCAGCACCGCCTTGCTTCATGGCGGAGGCGGCGCGGGCGGCGAAGAGAAACGACACATCTCGGCTGTCGAGGCGCCGTGCTGATCTCGTGGATCGGCGCTGCCATCCCCCTCCCCGGCGCGCAGAGCGTGCCAGGGGCGGCGCCAGGAGGCGCCGCAAGGGGGCCCAGCGCTGATCCAAGAACTCCCGCGGACCTCCGCCCCTGGCCATCGCTCGGACGTCCATTCCCTGTGTTTTCTTTTCTGGTTTCGTGCGTGCTCTTCTCGCCAAAGGATCAAGGATGCTCCTCGATGGTCCTCGCGGAAGAAAAAAAGCACACGTCCGAGCGATACCAAGGACCATGCATGCTTATGCAGTTCTGAACTCTCCGAGAGGGCGCGCGGCGCAGGCGCCCATCGCGATGGCGATCAGCCCGGGCACGATCATCCCCAGCCTCCAGCTGTAGGCGGCCGCCAGGCCCCTCGCCAGGCCCCGCGCCAGGGGGGGGGAGCGACGCGGGGTCGCTGGAGAGGAAGGCGACGACGACGACAACGACGACCACGACGACGACGACGGCGACGGCGACGGCGACGACGACGATCAAAGAAGAACCAACTTCACGAACATACCTTCCTGGAGTCCTGCAGATTTCTTGGATCGGCGCTGGGTCGCCCTAGCGGCGCCTCTGGCGCCGCCCCTGGCGTGCTCTGCGCGCCGTTGAGGGAGGTCCAGCGTCGGTTCAAGCAATTTTGTAACTCTTCCTTTTTCGAACCGTCGTCATCGCCGCCGTCGTCGCACGAAACTGGATTACCGGTGCCTCTCTGGGCCAAATCCAATGAGCATAGAATCGGGAACTCGGATCAGGTCGGAACGTTCGTCGGATCGAGCTGCGTCAGCACGAACCGAAATCGCATCGAATCTGCTGCACCAAAATGCACAACGACGCCATGCAAGCATTGCGTCGCTGGTCCATCGGGATCGACACGGATCCGCCGGAACCGATACTCATCGAATGGGATCGATCAGATCGACACTGGCATTGTGGGATGGCCCATTCTCGCATCCCCCGACCCCCGACGTCATGATTTGTTCATGACGTCGACCCCTAGAGGTCGAGACCCCTTCCCTGGGACCGGCTTCCCATCCTGAGTCGTTCTTTGACGGTCCCGAGGCCCGGTGAGGGCCTCCAGAGGCCGAAAATAGCGAGAGACCGGTTTCCCATCCTGAACCGTTTTGTGACGGTCCCGAGGCCTGGTGAGGGCCTCCAGAGGCCGAACATAGCGAGAAACCTCCCGTCCATCTTCCCATGCGCTGGATCTCTGGGGGCCCTGTGTCGGGAGCGGCCAAGAGGGGGGTGTCCAAGAGGGGGGGGTGCAAATCATGACTGGCGGCATGTGCGCGGCCCAGCGGGGGGGGCCAGGGACGTAATGAAATGAGAAGAGGCGCCATGAAATCTGGGGAAAAATCATGGCCCCCGCCATGATAGCCACCCCCCCTAGTCATCACCCCCCTCTTTGCCGCTCCCGACTGTGGGGTGGCTGAATCTCGCCTCCGTCTCCACCTCCAGACGGTGTCCAGCGCGTGTCTCGCTGCGACCTGGGCACGGTGCTGCAAAGGGCGGCGGGGGCCTCCACTTGGACGGTTTCCCCCCGGGGCCGTAGGCGACCCGAGGAGGGGAGGAGGAGGAGGAGGAGGAGGAGGAGGAGGAGGAGGAGGAGGAGGAGGAGGAGGAGCAGCAGGAGGAGGAGGAGGAGAGGAGAGCAGGAGGAGGAGGAGGAAGAGGAGGAGGAGGAGGAGGAGCCGAGGCGCACGGGGAACCACATGCGCGCCGCGCCCTGGCGCCCCCCCCTCTCCCTCCTCCTCCCCCTCCCCTCCCCCTCCCCCTCCTCCCCCTCCCCTCCTCCTCCTCCTCCTCTCTCCTCCTCCTCCTCCTCCTCCTCCTCCTCCTCCTCCCTCCCCTCCCCCCCCCTGTGATGAGAAGCAAAATCACACTACGACACGAACGTGATGTAGACGTGAAACGGTTATTGGTGATATTGTTTTTAACTCGTCGCCCTCGCAATCACGCACCCCAACGTTGTGCGCCGGACTGTGTTGTCTTCTCGTCTGTAGCTCTGCGTGCCCGGCTTGAGCACCGGCCTAAAGCTTGTGATTGCGAAGTCGGCTCCTACAAACTCAGCGTGCCCGCGCGGGCGCGGGGCCGCCGCGCCCCGCGCCCGGGCGGGCACGCCCTCCCCGGAGGCCCCTCGGGGAAGGCGCGGCGAGGGCCCGCTGCCGGGCGGCGGGCTCCTCCGACCCGGGGGGGGGGGGCCAGCACGCACGGCAGGCCCGCGCCGCGCCGGCGTCGGCGCTGGCTCCTCACACCGCGGGGGGGAAGACCTCACACCGCGGGAGGGAAGAAAAGGACACACACACAAGTAACTAAAGACACGCAAATCGCTGAACACACCCCGCCACACACACATACACACACACATAACTAAGAACCAATGACCCGCAAGGGGCCCGGGGACACGCAAATAGCTAAATGCACACAAATCCCAGGAGTGCCCCTATTTTCCCATTCTTTCTGGGTCGGCGGCTTCCCCCCCACTCTCCCCATATTTTGCTGGGAGTCGACGATGAGCTGTGTCTGTGTGCTTCTTCCCCTCCTGAGAAAAACGCCATGAACAAAACTTTTGGCGCCCCGCGCGGACTTCTTGGATCCGCGCTGGGCCCCCCCCGGCGCCGCCCCTGGCGCGCTCCGGGGAGGGGGGTCCAGCGCGGATCCAAGAGATCCTCGCGGAGCGCTCAAAGCTGATGTTTATGGCAAGTTTCTTCTTCTTCTTCTTCTTCTAATCGCGGGGATTGTTCAACTTTGAACGATCGGCCAATCCCGAAACTTCAGACGGTTCAAGATCGACCGGTTCTGGGTCGTCGGGGGCGTTCAACGTCGAGCGCAGGCGGCGGGAAGGCCGCCCGTCGACACGGCGCGAACCTACCGTACCCGCCCGCGGCGGTGCTGCCTGCTCCCCCTGGGTGGACGCAACAGAGGAAGAAGGAGTGCCATAAACAGAACATTTTGGCGCTCCGCGCGGTTTTCCCCCCCCTGCCCGGCGCGCGGAGCGCGCCAGGGGCGCCGCCGGAGGCGCCGCCAGGGGGGGCCCAGCGCGGATCCAAGAGATCCGCGCGGAGCGCCAAGAGTTTAGGTTCATGTTTGTTTGTTTTTCTTCGATGCTTGCTCCCCCCGTCCTTCCCCGTTCAAATATTGCGAGCCTGGATGGACACCCCGACAATCATGAAGGGGCCCTGGGACACACAAGTAAATACACACAAATAAACTGATTCCCCATAGTTTCACATATTTTCTGAGTTTTTGTCTTCCCCCCCACTTCCCATATTTTCCCGTATTTTCGGGGGAATCGCCGATTAATTGTGTCTGTGTGCTTCTTTCCCTCCTGAAAATATTGCGCGCCTGGGTGGACACCCCGACAATCAGCCGGATCGCGCTGCAACTGCTCGGGGATCCCCGCCGCCTGCCATGTCATCTGCCCCGCCCCGCCTCTCACGCGCCCTCCCCGCCTCTGCCGAGGGAAAAGGAGGGGGGGGGGGGGGCGAGGGACGGGGGAGAGGGGGGGGAACAAGGAAGGGAAGGGGGGAGGGAAAAAGGAAGGTAAGGGGGGGGGAAGGGAGGGGGCGAGGCAAGCTAGATGCGCTCGCGTCATATCTGGCATCCAACCCCTCCCTCCCATCCCTTACCATGGCGCAGATCCCCTCTCTACTCGCTCAGTCAGATGTCGAGCAGGGCAACGATGGGTACGCGATGCATTGTAGAGCACGGCATGGCATGGCGTAGAAGAGCACCGCAAAGCGTAGTATCAACACAGCATTGCAGTGCATGCCGTGGCATGGCACGGGAAATGACGCCAGCGCTGCAGCGGGAGCAAGAGTCGAAACGAGCGGAACGCGGAAATGAGGCCAGCGCTGCAGCGGGACACGATTCGGAACGAGCGGAAGCACGGAAATGAGGCCAACGCTGCAGCGGGAGCGCGATTCGGAACGAGCGGGGCCCGAAAATGAGGCCGGCTCTTTAGCGAGAGCAGCATTTTGAAAACAAATGCAAGCGAAAACCCAACTCCGGGGGAACCTGTGTAAAAAACAATACGCGGGGGGGGGGTCGGACACTCCCAGGCCGTCATCAGGGGAATAGGGAGAGTAGTATTCATATTGAATAATTGTGAAGGGGGAGGGCGAGGGAAGGGGAAGGGGGAGGGGGGCAGGGTTCTGGGTGGTCGGAGCGAAGGGGGCCGAGCGCCCGCGCGCGCGGCCTCGCGCGAGGATTATCGGGGGCGCGCAGACATGGATCAGCGATCCATGGATCTGGCGCGCGGTCGCCCGATCCATGGATCGGGGGAAGTGCCTTCCCCCAAACTGCAGCCGGCACCGCCCCGCTCGGCGGCGGAGAGATCCGCGATCCCCCATGGAAACGGGACCCGTCGCTAATCCACGATTCCTTGATCCTTGTTTGCGATCGCTTGGGATTACTCTGCCCCCCGCGCACTAACCCATCCAGCCGCCTGCTGCGACACGGGTGGGGGCTGCTCGGCCTGGCAGCGCCATGACCCGCCCGCGCGCTCTCCGGCGAGGCACGAGGCACGCGTGCGGCACGAGGGCCCGGCCCTCCCCCATGCTGTGCCGATGCTCCACCACCGCTATCACATGTAGGAGAGGGAGGGGGGAGGAGGGAGGAGGAGAAGGAAAAGGAGAAGGAGGCGGAGGAGGAGGAGGGGAGGAGGAGGAGGAGGAGGAGGAGGAGGAGGAGGAATTCGCTGGAATCCGCGGGGTGGGAGCGAACTCAGCGATCCCCACTCAGAACGCCAGGCGGTGGCCCACGGAGGACGGCCTCTCGCTTGACAGTGCACAACTCACGGGCCGGGGTCGTCTTGGACGGCCCCGCGCGGCTGGGAAAAAAAAACCTTTCGAATTCGCTGAAGGTTCTCCGTGCCTTTCTTGGCGCGGGCATTGCACTCGGCAACTAAATGACGTGGGTCCTCCGTGGCCGTTTTGCTGCACGTCAAACAAAAATGCAAGCCAAACTTGGGTCAAACATGCAGCACGTGCGACGAGTGGCAAACCTTCCCCCCGACCGTGACAGTCCCGCCCGCCCGCGCCACTCCATGATCAGCCAGACTCGAAAGGTCCTGGCCAGCAGCGTGGCAAGGAGGCGCCGCGAATTCAACAGTGTTGTGCACGGGTGCCACGTGGTGACACAGCGAGCACAGTCACTTACGTTCGGCCCTGACCAAAGAGGGCTCGCTACGAAGCAGGGCCGCGGCGAGGCCACCCAAACGACGGGCCTCGGGAGGCCTCTCGGCGGACCAAAGGGCAACACTGATGGAGTGGGCCGCCGTGCAATCTCACAGATCCGTGTCAGGGGGCCGTTGGCCCTGCAGGCCATAGGTCCAAGAAGAACTGGCCGCCTCCCCAGCAAGAGTGTCGGCA